TCTCTCTCTCTCTCTCTCTCTCTCTCTCTCTCTCTCTCCCTTCCATTCTTCAACATCTGCCTCGCCTCCCTCACTCCCTCCTCATCCCGCGCTGTATATTCCTCCCAATCAATTTCACCCTTGAATGCACGGTGTAGAGAGATACGGTGGGGACACTGGGCCGCTCCGGGCCTACCTGGGGAGGTCCCAGTTTTGGATCCATTATTAGTTACCCAGTACGCCGTCCGCCGCGCTGCTCGGCAACGTGTACCGGGCGTGGCGCAGCGTAGCGCCGGCGCCCGCCCGTGCGTGCGAGAGAGACAGGTAGTCAGTGTGCGAGAGAGAAGCACCGGTACGCGTTGCCGAGCAGCGCGGCGGACGGCGTACTGGGTAACTAATAATGGATCCAAAACTGGGACCTCCCCAGGTACCCCAGTGTCCCCACCGTATCTCTCTACACCGTGCTTGAATGGAACCTGCTCTGCCTGTGTGTTGTTGTTCCTTTTCAAGTTGCCGCTCACCGCCGTGAGCAGCCACCGCCACCGCCACCCCCTCTCCCTTCTCGACGGCTCGTCAGCTTAACAGTAAGACTCTTTCAGTTGAGCCTCGAAGGGCAGGGGTTCCCGTCCCGTTGTCACGGCTGTGTGTGCTCGCGGGCGCAAGCGGCTAGCGGGGGACTCCTGTTCGTTGGAATTGCCAAATGTTGTGTCTCGTCTAAAAATAAATTTTCGTTGACAATTAGAGCGATTTGTTTTTGTCGCTCTATTTAAGTGATGATTAAGGAACAGATCGCTCCGCTTTTCTTATGGTTTTGGATTATCGCTCACCTTGAGTGATATGCGAAAACAACCGTCGTTCTCACTAGAGAAACGAAATTTGAAACGTTGCGGCGCTCGCATAAAACTCAACATTACTTCAGTGCCTTAGCAAAAGTGTATGACTTAACACATTTTCTCTTTCAGTCCTCTATCGTTGTTAAAATATTTCACGCCCCAATATATGGCCTCTCTTAATCCCTCGCTAACCAGACCACCCCACACTCGGCCTTCCCCTCCGGAGCGCTGGCTAGCACCACCACATGCAAGGGGATGAACTTTTTGCCCTGTCAAGACAGCAACAATTTTTCTACCCCTGCCTTCCCCCCAAGGGACACGATATTATTCGGACTTTGCAGAGCGCAGGCGTCAGAGGCTTTTGGTCCACATCCAGGACGAAACCGCCTCGGCTTGTCCGACTCAAAACACAACTGATGAAGATCAAACCGAATCTCCCGCCCTTCCCGGAATGGCGACGCGTGGCGTGGCGTGGTGGTCGGGGGTCTTTCTATTTCCCCGGAGGAACTAAACTGCCGGCCCCAGGCCGAGACCAGCCCCAGCCTGTCTCGGTTGTAGTGGTGTAGAGCTGTGGACGGCCAACAGGCAATATAACTTGTATGATGGCTCTGAGCAGCGTGGCGGGGCAGGGGGGAGGCAGGGTTGGGTACGGTGGGGCGGGGGCGGGGTTGGTTGCGGCACCAAGCTGCAAGACGACGAGTCCAAAGCCCGGCGGGCATCGCCGCCGTGTTGGCCAAGTAGAACGGAAAACGACCACACCATCTGCTGCCACCTGGGATAGCGCGGTGCTTCGCGGGGAGGCGAAGGGCACGGGGTATATTGCGTGGGAAGTACGAAGTACATCGGGGTGCAGCCGAAGTACATCCGGAGTACAGCCGAAGCACATAGGGGTACAGCCAGCGTACGGACAAATTTCATCCGGAGCCTGGAGAACGCCCGAAGTACAGTTGGAGTACGCGGAGTACACCGGGAGTAGGCGGAGTACACACTCGGAAAACGTCAAGCCAAGTACCCAGGCGAACGCGTGTTGTCGACCTTGTGCAGGGCTGCTGCAGTGGCTACTGTGCTGTGGTGTGGCACCCACCCTGCTGCTCACATCGCACGCCCAGCAGCGCAACGGCTCTCTACTTCTCCATCCGTCAATAACCACCTTTCACTTCAGAAGTAGTTTGCACAAGCTGTACACCAATCGTCTGAAGCACGTGTCGTGTGTTTGTTGCGAGGGACTGTGCAGTCATCCACACCGAGTGAGATGATCAATCACAATCAACAACGCCCCCCCCTCCCCACCCACCCACACACACAGTGTAGCGCAATATTCAATCTATTATGCTTCCCACGGCGCATACCGCGTGCAATCATATTATTTCTCATCGCGACGAACGTGATTTTGCGCGAAACGCACGTCGTGTGGGGCGGGGAGCGATAGGCGGGAGGGGCAACCCCCCCCCCCCCCCCAACCGGAAACGGCCCGTGATGAGTCCTCTGTGCACTGCACACGTGCTGCACAGCCACACAGCGGCATTCACTCGACCCTCCCGCCACCACCACCACCCCCTACCTTTCACCCTACCCTCTTACGCCCTGTGTATACACTCTGGTCAACGCGTAAATACACGCCTTCTCTTATATCTCCTACACTCGGTAGTCTGAGAAGGGATCGGATACGATTCATGTCAGACGGAAACGTGTAAAAGGGATAAGGAGAGACTTTTGTATATTCAGGCGTCGCCGCACGCCGCGCACGCACGCGTCAAACCGAGGCCTGTCTTTGTTTATTCTGCCCTCCCCCCCCCTCTCCCTCCCTCGGCCGCCCTCCCCTATAGAGCGGGACGGACGGCGGGCTATGGTGCCAATGTTCCACTCAGCATGGCAAATACGGCCCCAGTGGTGGGTGAGGTAGGGAAGGTTAGGGGGCGGGGGAGTAGGGAGGAGTAGGGAGGAGGAGGGAGGAGGGTGCAACAGGGTTGGTCGGCGCGTCGGAGAAAGGAGCGCTGGGGGGAGGGGGTGTTCAGACAGGCCATTGCCGGGCAAGGTTGTCGCGTCGTTATGGCCCACGCACTGCCGAAAAAAAGGCCATGACTCTTAATTTATGATAAATCGCTTCTATTAAAATTCCTTTTTTACGACCTCCAAGTTCAAACTGTGCCGTCCGCTCTTTTACAAATTTACACCCGCGTTACTTTAGGACCGCCACATCGCCACGGAACGGTAACGAGCCCAAGCCACCTCGATCTGCCTAATACGACTCTGCATAATAATTTTCTTTCTTAAACTAATCTCGTTCATTATTTTTCTTATTTTTAAAAAAGGCAAAAGATTTGAGCCCTTTTTTCTCATACTAGGCAATGCGATTTTTCCTCCAGGACGATCCAGCATTATTCCGGTCTATTCCGGAGCTAAATATGGGGGCGGGCCAGAGCGCCGCCGCCCCCCGCCGCCCCCGCCGCCTCCCGCCGCCCCTTCGGCCGGCGGGGCGACCACTAGCCGCCTCTATTGACTCACGCCAACCTCACGTCTTCGCCGCGCTCTCGGCGTGCTGTGCGAATGGACCCCTGGAGGTGCGGGGTGGCGTGCGTGGCGAGGCGTGGCGGGCTGGGGTGGGGTGTGGCGTTGCCGCCGCCGCGAGCTACTCTGCTGGGGAGTCCTCGTTAAGCCCAGGCGGAGTTACCCCAGGAACTGAACTGGGCGCCTCCCACGCGACCTACTAACTGTGCTGGGGAGTCCTGGTTACGCTCATTCGGAGCCACCCCTGGAACTGAACTGAACTGGGCGCCTCCCCTACGCGAGCTACTCTGCTGGGGTGTCCTCGTTACGCTCAGGCGGAGCCACCCCTGAAACTGAACTATGGGCGCCTTGCACGCGAGCTACTCTGCTGGGGTGTCCACGTTACGCTCAGGCGGAGCCACCCCTTTAACTGAATTGGGCGCCTTCCACGCAAGCTACTCTGCTGGGGTGTCCTCGTTACGCTCAGGCGGAGCCATCCCTGGAACTGAACTCGGCGCCTCCCCTACGCGAGGATATTTTCCGATCGTACCGCGTGGTGAGTGTGTGCATACAATCCACAGGCCGCCAAACATCAGATCCGCCAGATCTACCGTGTTCGCGTTTGGTACATTTTGCGGCGGGGCCAGAGAGCAAACGCTGCCCGTAGCCGGCGTTTCGGCAAATACAATTTTGCGCCACAAACCATCAGTGCGCAGGTTATGATGGCATTCTGTGCCCTGTAAACTTTGCCCCAGACTAGTTTTAGTGATTGCAGGACAAACACTTTTTTCGTCCAGTGGCGACCGCGCAGACCTCCGACTCTGACTTTCCATTTACTGCTATCGCTCCGCCGCTGTCAACAGTCCAACGACGCTCTAGACATCCCCCCCCCCCTCGAAGAAAAAACCCTCTCCAGCCGACTTTTATTTTTCTTTCGATCTCCTGCCGTGATCTCACTGACTGCTCACTCTGCGCGCCGCCGGCCAGCCCATCGCCACCTGATTTCCAAGCAACCAACGCAACCTGCTTCGTTAAATCTGCCTCACCCCACCCCTCCCCCTCTGCCCGGTGCGAGAGAGTCGGGAAGCTATCCGGCCAGTAGGATCGTCACGATCGTCATCACTTACCTCAGCGGTTTTCTTCTCCAATCACCTTCGCTGCTCTCGCAGCAACCCCCGGCGGCCCCGCTGGCCTCCCTTGGCCGGACTCGTCGGCCCGTCCGTCCGTCCGCCCCTCTGTCTGTCCGTCCGCCCGCCGTCCGCGCCGCCTGCAGCCGCAGGCGCTCTCCCTGGCCGGACCTGTATCGGGCACACGGGCAGAAAAACAACTGTGAACGGGGAGCCGCAATAGTGTGTACTACTATAGTGGGGGAAGATGGAGCGGCTCCTGGTTGGTTCAACGTGAAAAAAGAGACAAGACAAATGAATGGAATTCAGCGAGGAGCGAAGAGCGTGGGGAGTCGTCGACCACCAACGCCAGCGCCAGCGCCAGCACCAGCGCCAGCACCAGCACCAGCACCAGCACCAGCACCAGCACTAGCACCAACATCAGCACCAGCTCCAGCAACTATGAGGAAGTTGCCCGATAAGAGGAACAAGAAGAAGGTAGCACTGACGAGGTGGCGTGGCGTTGCCGTCACTAAGCAAAGCAGAACGCCGGCGACCATACTGTTTTTTTTTATCGCGAGCGGACGCGTGTGATCATAAATCAAGTTTCGTAGAATTTGTAAAGATAAATTGGGTCCATATTATACCGGAGTGGCCATCTTGTGTGAAAAAGTGCATCTGTAAAGTTTGGCTTCGGAAAAGTAAGTTTATACAATCTTCTAAACAGTCCCGGTGTCGTTGTATAGGTTAGTGTACGGACATATTCATTGGCACTATTTTAACTAAATAATAATGACTCAACTGTCGTAATGAACTTTGGTATAGGTGGTACCAAGGTGCCAGATGCATAGGCCCGTTCTAATCTGAAATCTAACGACACGCATCCTAACCTCTGCTAGACTGTCGCTCATCTTCTGCTTTGTTACGCTACGCTACGCCACCTCCTCAGTGATACCTTCTTCTTGTTCCTCTTATTGGGCAACTTCCTCATAGTCACCATGAAAAACATCCTCGTAAATTACCAATTTTTTTGCTATTTTTTTTAGACCAAATATGTTGTAAATTTGCTTGTCGATCAGTCCCAAATCAACACAAAGTACAAAGTGCTTGTAAATATCCAATATCCAATTAAAATTTTGCTTCACGCATCATTGAAAACTTTCCCGTAAATCTATTTTTCACAGTGGCGCAACATGTATGAAACATATTTCTCACTGTGCACCACCACCTTCACCGCCTCACAACCGCAAGCTGTTCATCTCTGTTTTCTCGCTACGGCACCCACGCAACGCACCCAGCTGTCGGCGCCGAGACTGGCTCTGGCTGCTGGGTCGCGAGCGCACGGGGCGCCACAGGCGGGGCGGGGTGGGGCGCACAGGGCGTTCCTTCGGCGGGCAGCACCCCGCCACAATGCGGGCCAGCGGGCCGGCCAGACGTCTTAGTATTCACCGGCCGGGGCCGGGCCGGCCGGGCAGTGACAGTGACACCCGGATATTGACCAGTCTGACGCGGTAGATGGAGGAGCTGGCAGACGCGCCGCCGCAGCGCCAGCCAGGGAATTGGGCACAGCGGTACCCATGCATATGTGTGTCGCCTCGAACCGTTCCCGACCCATCTGCTCATCTCAAACTGCCCTCTCACGGTACAAATATGGTACCCTAAAAAAGAAAAAAAAAAGCATATTTGGAAGTTCAAATTCCAAGCCGTGTCCTGTTTGTTCTCGGCGCGTGGCTTATGACCTCTGTCATCCATCTGATCATCGCTCCTTTCCAGCAAACCTGGCGGAGTTCTGGTCCTCTCGCATTTTTTCTAGACTGCGGTCATAGCTCGATTCAGAGAGTTCAAAAATCAATATGATCTTTTGTATCTTTCGCCTCCCCTCTCCCTCTCTATCCACAAAAAAATGTATCGCGCGCCAAGCCACCCACGGCGTAAGCGGCCGTATACCGAGTTCAACCCTCTCAGCCACACACGGGCTGGTTTGCATGCCATAAAATAAATACAGGCGAAATTATGAAAATTGTGTCGTCCTTTCCGCGTCCACGGTCGCGGTCTCGGCCTCAGACGGATAACATTTTTGAAACGATGTCGACTTGTACTTTGGATCGCAATCTGGTGAAAGGGTTTTTAGGTGTGTTCGTGGTCCATGTCCCAGTTCCGTACTTTTCCTTCTCCCTCCTTGATGGCAGCGCATTTGATGGAACGTTTCTCCGCTAAAGGAAACCAACCGTATGGATGTGTGGATGCCTCCTGCTGAGCGTGTCCACCGCGGAAAGGAAATGGAGCCGTTTGTAGTTTGTTTTTCTCGTTCTATAGTATATACATGTATATTTATGTTTTTGTTCGGTGAGGGGGCGCGGAGTTTTCACGAGCTTTGACGCGGGTCGAGCCAAGACGATGACGATCTGTCTTGGCCCGCGACACACACGGGCTCGCGCTCGGCAGTCTCATTCCCCATTCAAGGACCGAGGCTGGGGGCTTTCCACTCGACCAGGCCCATGGCCAGCGGCGTGGCGTGGCGTGGCGTGGCGCGTTTTACATGGCCCGATTTGCTTGACACTCTGAGGACGCATGGCTGGGTTATAGACAGGACTAGCAGAGTTTCCGAAACACTCAAACGAAAGCCAACGCGAGACTTTAGTACGGCAAAGAGTTGTACTTTAAATGATCCGTTGGTATTGAGCGTAAAAGAATAAACAATCTACACAATGTTTTTCACTGTGCGTGCAGCTGTGCTGAATGTCGCCGCACAGTGTCCTAAAAAAAAAACATGTGATTTTTCCCGTAGGCTAATATTATGGATTACCCGAGCGACGACACGCAGCCCCATCAAAAAGTAATAAAACGCTGGTCGCACCTGGTGTTGAGCTGAAAGGGGCAAAAAGGATGGCGAGCACGGAAAGCGAGGGTAGATATATTGATGACAGAATTTGAATACTTTAAAAGAGCTGAAATGCACCCAGTTAACCGTGTCATCATCACGCACACCCATGTGGTTGTAAATTACTTGGGTACGGTACACGCATAGAGGCATGCCATAAAATCACAAAACAGACACATCACGGGTCTAATTCCGCACAGCACATCCTGAAACGGGGAAAGAGGGTAAGGATAGTGTGTGTAGGGGTGTGTGTAGGAGAGAAAGAGATAGAAATAGGGGGAGGGGGCGCCTTTCCGGGCCGTTCAGCTACGAAATTAATAATTAATTATAATTATGGGGACTGCTCAGGCGTCTCATCGACGTCCTCGTAGTACGATACGAGACAGCAGTGAGAGCGGCTGTGCGGGTGTGTAAGAGAGAGGGAGCGAGAGAGACAGAGAGAGACAGAGATAGAGGGAGAGAGAGAGAAGCGAGGAGAGAAGGCGGGGGGGGGGGGGGAGCAAGAAGTGAGATGTCTCACTTTAAACAAAAATCACCTTGTTGGTGTTTAACCTCGTTGCTATAAGACTGCTTCATATCCAGACTTTGCTCTCATGGTGCACCAAAAACCCTTAAAATAAATAATTTAAATGACATTTGCACTAATATACATTGAAAGAATTACATTCAGCTGTTTACGATGATTGTGATGACTGTTTGTGTCCATTCCCTAAAGAGGATAAGATTTTGCCATTATAAAAGAATGCCAAAACTTTTGCATGCAAAAGCGGCCACATAGCTTCAGGTCGTTTATTTCATCGTTTTTCTTCGTGCCAAAGATTGGAAATCCGATAATTTTAATTACCTGCCACAAGGCTTGGGCCACCTCCGATCTGCTTTTGGAGCGCCAACCACCACAAGCAAGCATGGAGGGTACCGGTACCCGCTGGTTCGTACCCCCAGGGGGCCCTGCACGACCGCACCTCCACGCCCAGCGGGGGCGGCTCGGCTCCGGCGTGCTGCCACTAGGGCCCCCCTGCCTCCCCCGTCGACCTGCTGCCCTGCAGGGCCCCTTTGGGGCACAGGATGCCTTCGAAGCCGCGACAAAGGCATTCCTGGAGCGCCCGTTGCGCCGCGTCGAGTGGGGCCGTCCCGTGTCTGTGCGTGCGTGCCTGTGTGCGTGTGTGTGCACACGTCCATGCGTACGTGTGTGCGTGTTTTGTTTTCCCCACTCTTTTCCATATTGCAGTTGGGAGGGACGAGGGACAGGGCGCCATCCCCTTTTCGGCACCTCGACATGCGGAATATAGAAATACCCCCAGAAATGTCAACGGTAGGGCCATGGCCCACCCAGCCCCACCCTGTATCCCCTATTCTCGCGCCTTATCCTTCCTTCAGCCTGCCGGGAAAGGCCTTCCTGCATACCACTTAGTAGGTGGGTCGAGATCGGTGGGTGGTTGCCGCGGGCAAGCGGAGAAGGGCGGCGGGGGCTTCGAGGGAACTGGAGCGATTAGCCTTTTCCTCAGTAAAAATTAACGCGCAAACCACCAACATTTTCATTACTCTGATGCATTTTTCAGCGTTGTGTCTGGGCGTGTTCAAGCAGCAGCTGTTCCTCGGCGGCACACACAGAAAAACTTTAAGCGAGATTTCCTGCTTGAAATGAGCGAGTTGTTCACATTGGTTAGTGAATGAATTTAATAGTACCCAAGTAACAACTGTACACAATTTCAGTGATGATCCTAACTCAAAACAAGCTATGACCAAAATTAATTTATCTGCTTAAGGGGAAAATTTTAAAATGAAAAATTACTAAATTCTTATAAACACTACTTAACTTAAACTTCTTATCGACTTGGAATTCTTGGACAATAGCAAAACTGGTGGATATCATAAATTTGCAATACTGCGGTACGGACGCGTCCGTAAATTTACAAAACCATTTGTTAATTGTAGATTTTGCAAGGAAATTGCAAATAAACGAAGGTTTTTTTCTCTCAATACCTCTTGACGAGAATTCTTCCTCCGTGGTTTTCACTGTAGCTCGACATAACACCGCGTGTCGGTCTGTCCCACCACGCCAGTACGAGGAATTACTGATGACCCAAGGTGCCCGTTACGGACTGCTCTATAGTTAGTTGAGTTTGTTTAGCTTCCTATATCGACCATCTAGGGATACACCGCCACACCGCTCGCGCGGACATGGACATGGACGTAAAAAAAGGAATCGCGGATCTCGCTTGTAAAAAAACACACTTTTTATGTGTGGCTTTCGACTTTCGTCGCTTTGTAGTAATGGAAAGTGACTAGGTGTACTCGCTCCGCTTTACTC